AAATTCCAAGACAAAGAGAGAATCTTAAAGGCAGCAAGGGAGAAAAAAGAAGTAACATACAAGGGAGCCCCAATAAGGCTAGCTACTGACTTCTCAATGGAAACACTCCAAGCAAGAAGAGAATGGCAAGAAATATTCCAAGTAATGAGAAACAGAGGCCTACAACCAAGGCTACTTTACCCAGCAAGGCTCTCAATCAAGATAGAAGGCCAAATAAAGAGCTTCCAAGACAAAAGAAGTCTAAAAGAATATGCCTCCACCAAACCAGTCCTACAAGAAATACTAAAAGGACTACTTTAAGGAAAGGAAGGAAAAGTGAGAGACAGAGAAGAACACAGGTACAAAAATGGCAATGAATAAGTACCTATCAATAATAACTTTAAATGTAAATGGATTAAATTCTCCAATCAAAAGACACAGAATAGCTGAATGGATAAGAAAGCATGACCCACACATATGTTGCCTACAAGAGACCCACCTCAGGACAAAGGACCATCACAGACTAAAAGTGAAAGGCTGGAAACAAATTTACCAAGCAAACGGACAAGAAAAAAAAGCTGGGGTAGCAATTCTCATATCCGATAAAATAGACTTCAAAAAGAGGACCATAAAGAGAGACCTAGAAGGTCACTTCATAATACTCAAGGGGAGAATCCACCAAGAAGACATTAACATCATAAATATATATGCACCAAACATAGGAGCACCCAAATATATCAAGAAAATCTTAGAGGACTTCAAGAAAGATATTGACAGCAACACAATTATAGTAGGGGATGTGAACACCCCACTATCAGAAATGGACAGATCTTCCAAACAAATTATCAACAAAGATACTGTGGCATTAAACAACACCCTAGACGAAATGGACTTAACTGATATATATAGAGCCCTTCATCCCAAAGAAGCTAAATACACATTCTTTTCAAATGCACATGGAACATTCTCAAAAATCGACCACATGATAGTTCACAAAATGAGTCTCAACAAAGTCAAGAAAATTGAAATTATACCAACCATTTTCTCTGACCACAAGGGACTGAAACTGGAAACCAACCCTAGAGGAAAAAACCCAAAGCACCCCAAATCATGGAGACTGAATGGTATGCTACTAAACAATGAATGGGTCAAGAATGAAATTAGGGAAGAAATCAAAAAGTTTCTGGAAACAAATGAAAACGATCTCACAACAACTCAAAACTTATGGGACACAGCAAAGGCAGTCCTGAGAGGGAAGTTTATAGCAGTATAGGCCTACCTAAAGAAGACAGAAACATTTCAAACAAACAACCTTACTCTAAGCCTGCAAGAACTCCAGGAACAACAACAAAAACAGCCCAAAGCAAGTAGAAGGAAGGAAATAACTAAGATCAGAGCAGAACTAAATGACATAGAGACTAAAAGCACAATCCTAAGGATTAATGAATCCAGGAGTTGGTTCTTTGAGAAGATAAACAAAATAGACAAGCCTTTAAGTAGGTTCATCAAGAAAAGAAGGGAACGGACACAAATAAACACAATCAGAAATGAAAGAGGAGAGATTACAACTGATACCACAGAAATAGAAAGGATTGTAAGAAATTATTATGAAGAACTATATGCCAAGAAATTTGAGAACCTAGGGGAAATGGACACATTTCTAGAAAAATATAATCTCCCAAAACTCAATGAAAAAGAAGTAGAAAACCTGAATAGACCAATAACAGCAAAAGAAATTGAGGCAGTAATCAAAAAACTTCCATCACACAAAAGCCCCGGACCAGATGGGTTCACAGGAGAATTCTACAAAGCATTTAAAGAAGAGCTAACCCCCATTCTTCACAGACTATTCCAAAAAATCCAAAAGGACGGAAAACTCCGAAACTCCTTTTATGAAGCCAGCATCATCCTAATCCCAAAACCAGATAGAGATACAACAAAGAAAGAAAACTTCAGGCCAATATCACTGATGAACATAGATGCTAAAATCCTCAACAAAATATTGGCAAATCGCATCCAACAAGATATCCAAAAGATTATACACCCTGACCAAGTGGGATTCATCCCAGGGATGCAAGGATGGTTCAACATTCGCAAGTCAGTAAATGTAATTCATCACATAAACAAAAGCAAAGACAAAAACAATATGATCATATCAATAGACGTGGAAAAAGCTTTTGATAAGGTCCAGCACCCATTTATGATAAAAACACTCAGCAAAGTGGGAATACAGGGAGCATTCCTCAATATAATAAAGGCCATATATGAGAGACCTACAGCCAATATCATACTCAATGGGCAAAAACTAAAAGCTTTTCCACTAAGATCAAGAACAAGACAAGGATGTCCACTTTCACCACTTCTATTCAATATAGTATTAGAAGTTTTGGCCACAGCAATCAGGCAGGAAAAGGAACTAAAAGGCATCCAAATAGGAAAGGAGGAAACAAAACTGTCACTGTTTGCAGATGACATGATAGTGTACATGGAAAATCCTATAGACTCTACCCAAAAACTGCTCGAACTAATTAATGAGTTTGGCAAAACAGCAAGATACAAAGTCAATATCCAGAAATCAAAGGCATTTTTATATACGAACAATGAATCAGCAGAAGGGGAAATCAAGGAAAAAATCCCATTTGATATAGCAAAAAGAAAAATAAAATATCTGGGAATAAACCTAACCAAGGAGGTAAAAGACCTGTATGCAGAAAAACACACAGCACTGAAGAAAGAAATCAAGGAAGATACAAACAAATGGAAACATATACCTTGTTCATGGATTGGAAAAATTAACATCATCAAAATGTCCATACTACCCAAATCAATATACAGATTTAATGCAATACCTATTAAAGCACCAATGGCATATTTCACAGACATAGAACAAACACTTCAAAAATTTATATGGAGCCATAAACGAGCCCGAATAGCAACTGCTCTTTTGAGAAAGAAGAACAAAGTAGGAGGGATCACAATACCTGATATCAAACTGTATTACAAAGCCTCTGTAATCAAAACAGCCTGGTACTGGCATAAAAACAGGCACATAGACCAATGGAACAGAACAGAGAGCCCAGAAATCAACCCAACTCTCTACAGTCAATTAATATTTGACAAAGGGGGCAGTAACATCAAATGGAGTAAAGATAGCCTCTTCAGCAAATGGTGTTGGGAGAACTGGACAGCTATGTGCAAAAAAATGAAACTTGAGCACAGACTTACACCATACACCAAAATAAATTCAAGGTGGATAAAAGACTTAAATATAAGCCGTGACACCATTAAAGTCCTAGAGGAAAACATTGGCAAGAAAATCTCAGATATTCCACGCAGCAACATTTTTACCGATATGTCCCCTAGAGCAAGGGATATACAGGAAAGAATAAACAAATGGGACCTCATCAAAATAAAAAGCTTCTGCATGGCCAAAGAAAACAGTATTAAATTAGCAAGACAACCAACTGTATGGGAAAACATATTTGCCAATGATAACTCAGACAAAGGTTTAATCTCCCAAATATACAAAGAACTTACACGACTCCACTCTAGGAAGACATCGAACCCAATTAAAAAATGGGAAAAGGACTTGAACAGGCACTTCTCCAAGGAGGACATACAGAATATCCAGAGACACATGAAGAGATGCTCAATATCGTTAGCTATCAGAGAGATGCAAATCAAAACCACAATGAGATACCACTTTACACCCGTCAGGATGGCTATCATAAACAAAGCAATAAACAACAAATGTTGGAGAGGTTGTGGGGAAAAGGGGTCCTTAGTTCACTGTTGGTGGGATTGCAGACTGGTACAACCATTGTGGAGAACAGTATGGAATTTTCTCAGAAAAATAAAAATCGACCTGCCTTTTGACCCAGCAATTCCACTGCTAGGATTATATCCCAAGAATCCTAAAACATCAATTTCAAAGAACCTATGCACCACAATGTTCATAGCAGCACAATTTACAATAGCCAAGAGTTGGAAGCAACCTAGGTGCCCGTCAGTAAATGAATGGATCCAAAAATTGTGGTACATATACACAATGGAATTCTATGCAGCAGAGAGAAAGAAGGAGCTACTACCCTTTGCAACAACATGGATGGAACTGGAAAGCATTATGCTGAGTGAAATAGGCCAGGCATTGAAGGACAAATACCATATGATCTCACCTTTAACAGGAAGCTAAATAACAAAATAAACAAGCAAATAGAATAAAAACAAAGACACTAAAATAGAGAACAAGTGGGCAGCGACTAGAGGGGAGAGGGAAGGGAATTTAAGGGGAAAAACAAGGAGGGATTTTGAAGAACAAGTATGAAAGACACAGGGATGAGGTCTGTGGGGAGGGGGGGGATGGGAGGGAGGTGGGGGGATGGGGCGGAGGGGGGGTTGGGATGGGAGAAATTGACAAAAGAAAACTGTACTTGAAAAATAACTCAATAAATTTTAAAAAATTAAAAAGAAATAAAATAAATATGTTAAGATTTATTCCCAACTACTGGACACGTAGAAAACCCAGCTGGTTAAACTAGTCTTTAAGACATTTTTTTATTATTGTTCAAGTACAGTTGTCTCCATTTTCCCTCCATCAGTCTCCTCTGCCCCACCCACCCCCACTCCCACACTCAGTTCTACCTCTCTTCGGCTTTGTCTTTTCCATTCTTATATACATTGTATGCAATGACATGTCCATTTTCACATTATGCTATTTTGTATTTTCTAATATGTTTGTAATTGTTTCCATGTGCCCTGAGGTATCATTCTGTCTCCCCTCAGGTAGATTATTAGTACCCCAAAATTGGATTAATGTAGTCCAGTCAGTTAGTGATTTACTTTAACAAATTAATATTATATCCTCCATAATGATTAGTGTAGATTCATGCATACCATATATTCTTAAAATGCTTGTCAGAATTATTTGCCTAACCTTTGCAGTATCACTGGCAAATACAAAAAATATTCAATTAACCAAAAGATACACAAGCAATCAAATCACTGAGCTCTTGTTAGTTTACCTGTTCCATTTTGATCAGGAAATAATCAATAAAGTCCTTAGGATTGTTAATGTCCAGGGATACTTGATGTTCCCTTGTTTTCTCCATAATATAATCTTTTATATTAGAGGAATTTTTTTGTACTTTGTTATGACTCCCTGGGAAATAGTTGACAAGAACAGGGAACATATTGCAAAGCTAGAAGAGAAAATAATAGAATATTAGATAAAAGTCTTAATGAAGATATATAACACATGCTAAAACCTGATTAGAGATAGCACTGTAAATATTAATGAAATATGAATTTTTGACACATAAGTAACTTTCTACATTGATAGGTGTTTTTGAAGGAAAAGATTCTGACCAGGAGATCAAAGATTATAATGATTTTCTATACTCATAAATTATGTTTATAGTATAAAAACATCTGTATATCAATTTAATCATTTTAAACATCGATTCTTTTCTACAATCTTGAAATATGTGATGGCATGAAATACTAATATTCACATTTTGTAGGTGACACCAAATGTGAAGAGAGTTTGGGAAGCCTGATAGAGCACACAATAGTAATCCCTGGTGTTTCTATGCCTGTCCAGTAGCCTCAGACATCAAATCAGTAGTTAGAACTGGGAGCATGCTGACAAGACCATGAAACACAATTCAACATTTTATATATAAAGTAACTGTACACCAGACAAGTGAAGTGATGTATCTAAGATGACATCACCATCTCTTAGGCAGACTATCATCTCAGCACAGGGTAAAAATTGTGATGTTTGTGTATGGTTCATGCACTATATGAGCAATCATTTTGTCATCTCCAAGACAATTACCTTGTAAGGATGTCAGGGAAGCATCAAATACTCTTACCCTTAGTGTTCCCTAGCAGCATCTGTGGCCCCAAATGCTCTCCCTTTTTGAAGGAGATATTCTCTTCCTTCTTAAATGCCAACTAATGTACTGAAGAAGTCACTAAGTGTTGATTAGGTAACAAGACTTGTGGGTAATGGAAGTGCTTTAAAAAGAACTGAAAAGTTCATTTAGTACTATGGGAATGTTTTGGGGAAGTTAACATAGTACTTTATAGAAAATTGGGCTTTGGAATTTAGTAGAAAATCCATTGGACAGGGTCAATGGATTGAATTCCAGTTCTGTATTCTGGACACGCCTTTTCCACTCTATCATTAAAGGGCTTGGCAATATTTCCCAGATGAGTACTTCATGATGCTGAGCTCTGGAAAGGACTATAGTGTCCATCCATTCACTTACAGCTTGATATACACAGGGATTTGGGCTTTTGTGAGAAAAGACCATAAAGGGTTCCTTGTGAAGAAACAATCATGGCCTCACCTGTGCCCATGGAGTGGACAGAATCCTGACATTCTCATCAAGCATTTCAATTAAGTTAAGAAAATTATGATCTTTATAATCAAAACGATTCTGGAAAATCATGGAGCAGATCACATTGCAGGGAGCACAGCTCAGGATAAAAGTGGGATCACACGGTGATGCTAAAGAATGAGAAACAATTTTAAAACACCACTAAAAGAGACAAATGAAACACTTTCTTTATGAAATAATAGGTAAAGGTAATTTTAGAAACTTTACAACAATTTTCCTTTAAAAATTGCCTAAGAGAAAAATATTCAACATATATAAAAGCAAGACATCACTTTTATCTTAATCTGAGTATTTGATTTCAACCTAGCTAAATAAATAATGATTTTCTGAAAAATACTCAATTGACATTCACTGCCTTTATTCGTACCCTTTTCACCCAAGGTGCCTGGTAATTTGCAAGAAGAGAAAGAAAAAAATATTTAAAGAGGTAATTTTTATATCATTTTATATTTAAAGTTGTCAGTGCTGAAAATCATTTGTCTACAAAATTTATAGAAAATTAAGTGCTGATATAGAGAAACATTTGGAACCTCATAATGTTTTCTGTATAATGAATAGTTTAAAGAATCACGTGTAGAAGCAGGAGGGGAAACTCAATAGAGGGAGATTACGAGTGAATTCATGTATTTGAAGAAATAAGTGTAAAAAAGCAGGAAGCATTCATGTTATGTGATTTAAAAATACAAGTGAACAATTATTATAAAATAGATTGTTTTTGTTCTGAAATAAAAACACCATGTAGCCCTGGCTGGTGTGGCTCAGTGAACTGAGTGCTGGCCTGTGAAGTAAAGGGACTCCAGTTCAATTCCCAATGAGGACATATGCCTGGGTTGAAATTCAGGTCACCAGTAGGGGGTGCACAAGAGGCAACCACACACTGATGCTTCTCTCCCTCTCTTTCTCTCTCCCCCCTTTCTAAAAATAGACAAAGAAAATCTTTAAAAAAAAACAAACTATGTGATCTCACATGTAAGTCTAAGCTACTAAAGAAAGCAAACAAATGAGCAAAATACAACCAGAAGTGTGGAAAGGAGGAACAAATTGACAGCGACCAGAGGAGAAGGGACAGAAGGAAAATGGGGGATAGAAGGGGAACAGTCTACTCAAGGGACATGTATAAAGGACTCATGGAAATTGACAATAGGGTGGGGATTGACTGAGGGAGCAGTAGAGTGGGTGAAGCAGGGGAGAGCAACAAGGGGGAAAACTGGGACAACTGTAATTGATCAAAATTTTAAAAAAACAATAAAAAAATGAAAAACAATTTCAAACATAAACCCCAGGTAAGTAAAACAAAGAAAAAGGTAAATTGATAAATGGAGTTCTTTAATCCTTTATTTCAATGTTTAATAATATTTTCCTTCTGCAGGATCCAAGATGGTAGTGTAGTAGGCAGATATTACACTCATGTTCTTCAAGCACCAAACTGGAATTACAGCTAAAATATAGAGCAATCTTCCTGAATATCCAACTGAAGATTAGGTAAAGTGATGTCTTACACCCAAGGATTTACAGAAAAATCATCAAGAGTGGTAGCCAGGGCAGAGATGTGAAAAGTGCTGACTCTCCCCAACAAGCAGAAGCTGACTTTCTAGAGGGATATCTCAGCGCAGGGTTCCCCTAGGGAAGTGTGGGGTCTCGACCCTAAACCAGACTCCCTATCCCAGAGCACCAGTCCAGGAAGAGTCACCACATGACATCTGGCTGTGAAAATCAGCAGGGAATCTGTCCAGCAAAGAGAGTCAGGAGTCTGCTAGAGACCCAGGTGCCCTCATAAATGGCCAATGCACAAAGTCTCATTTCAACCACTCACCCTGGGCTGCAGTGGAGAAAGGGCATAGCAGACTAGAGTTGCATGAGGAGAGACTGGAGTTTGTAGCTCTGGGAAGAGAGCTGAATGAACAGCCCCCAGGGCCCTTGTGTTGAGTCCCTCTCCCACACTTCAGACACCATCTTTCTTGGTTGGAACTTCACTTTCTGGACTCCCTGTAGCCCCACCCTGACAAGCTTTTCCCCAGGTGAGAAGTTAGCTGCCTGAGCTGGGATGTAGAGGTCCAGGTAGACACAGGAGGTGTCAATGACTGAATTGTGTGGCTTTGGTGCAGGGGCCATTCCCCATTCCAGGTTTGAGTGAATCTGACCAGTACCACACCTCACAGGACATCCACTAGCCCCACTCTCCTGGCTTCCAGCAGCCCCATCCTCCCAACACCTGGTGACTCTGCCCTGCAAATGTCTAGGTAGAATCCTGGACAGACTGAGGCATGTGGCTCTAGCCAGGGGCCACTTCTTCTACCTTCCCCAAGTCTGACCAGCCCTTCCCCCTCACAGGACAACCATTAGGCCCATCCTTCCAACTTCTGCAGGCTCTGCAGTGCTCAGATTGGGCTCCTGACAGAATATGGGACAGACTGAGTTGTGTAGCTCCAGGATAGGGTCCATGTTCCCTTGTATGCCATACTAATGCCAAGCCCTCCATTTACATGACAAAATCTTGATCTGTATGGGCCTGATAAACTGCTGGCATCACCCTGACTACTCCCTGATACCCTGACCCTACACAAAAGTATGAAAGCTCCCAGTGGATGGCAGCTAGACTTGGCATACCCTGGAACATTTGCTGAGTAGTCTCAGACCCAGCAGTGGCATGGTGTTTCAATCTGTATGTGTCTAATGAACACCACTCACTTCTTCCTAGTGACTCAGAGAAACTACTTCATGTACTGCTAAAGGCTCTTTCAGTGACTGAGGCTAAAGGCAACTGGCAGAAAGAGGGAGATCTTGGGACGCCTTGGGACTTTGGTTGACCCACGGCCGAGCCCAGTGCTGGTAGAAGCAAGCCTTGGTGCACAGCTTGGTCCTTCCCACACACACACAGGCCCAGTAGAGGGAGCCCCAAACTGTGGATCATGTTATACCTCCAAACAGCCAGTGACAGGCAGCATCAGCAATTGGCCTTTACCAGTGTCTCTCCCAAGAGGTTGCAAAACCAACACACCCAGTGGCAGCTTCAGACATCTGAGTAGCATCCAATTAGCTTAACAAGCAGCATGTCCAACGGGATATCTCAGGAGGCATCAGACCTCGCTGAGGAAATTCTGCTTCATGTCATCAGCACCAACACAGCAGCTCATACACTGTGGTTGGGACAGATGCTCACAGTCAGCCAGCCTGAGAATCAGCCCCATTCAAAAATGGTTCAATAGCAATCAAAACTCAGTTGCAACACAAGGGATCACATAACCCAAAGAAAGGCCACCCAGCTCAGGTCATCAAGGAGATGGTGCCACTGGGAGTCATAAAAGATCTACCTAATAGGTAGAAACAAACACAAATAAGCAGCAAAAGGAGAGACAAAGAAACATGACCCAAATAAAAGAACAAGAGTAATCTCCAGTAAGATTTATATGAATTGAGGTAAGTAATTCATCAGATATACAGTTCAGAAAATATTATAAGGATGCTTAAGGGACTTAGTGAGAACTACAACATGATCAAGGAGATTGAAACCATAACAAGGAACCAGTTTGAAATGAAGAATACACTGGAAAAAATAAACTGTAGGTTGAATGAAGCCAAGTAATCAAATCAATGATTTGGAAGAAAAGGGGAGGAAAAAACACCCACCCAACTAAAAAAGCAAAAAAAAAAACCCCACCAATTTTATTTCATTTCATTTTTTATTTTTGTTTATAAATTACTTTAATGTTGTTCAATTACAGTTTGCTGCATTTTCTCCCCACCACTCACCCCAACCTAGGAAAACCCACCACCTTCCCATACTTCCACCCTCCCTCTTCATTTTGTCCATGTGTTTTTCATAGTAGATGCTGAAAACCCTTCTCCCCACAGTCCCCTCTCTCCTCCCCTCTGGCAATTGTTAGATTGTTATTAATTTCTCTGTGTCTGGTTATATTTCTTTTGCTTTTTTTCTTTTATTGATTATGTTCCAGTTAGAGGTGAGATCATATGGTATTTGTGTCTCAACACCTGGCTTATTCCACTTAGGATAATGCTCTCCAGTTCCATCCATGCTGTTGCAAAGGGTAGAAGCTCCTTCTTTCTTTCTGCTGCATAGAATTCCATTGTGTATGCATACCATAATTTTTTATTCATTCATTTACTGATAGGCACCTAGGTTGCTCCCAACTCTTGGCTATTGTAAATCATGCTGCTATGAACATTGGGGTTCTTAGGTTCTTTTGGATTGGTGTTTTAGGGTTCTTAGAATATAATCCTAGCAGTGGAATTGCTGGGTGAAAAGGCAGGTCTATTTTTAGTTTTCTGAGACAATTCCATAGTGTTTCCCACAGTGGCTGTACCAGTCTGCAATCCCACCAACAATGGATTAGGGTCCCCTCTTCAAAACTTCTCCAACACTTGTTGTTTGTTGCTTTGTTTGTGATAGCCATTCTGACTGGTGTAATGTGGTATCTCATTGTGGTTTTAATTTGCATCTCTCTGACAGCTAGTAATATTGAGCATCTTTTCATGTGTCTCTGGATCTTCTGTATGTTCTCCTTGGAGAAATGTCTAAGTCCTTTGCCCACTCCTTAATTGGGTTGCTTGTCTTCTTAGAGTGGAGTCGTGTAAATTCTTTGTATATTTTGGAAATTAAACCCTGGTTTGAGGTATCATTGGCAAATATGTTCTCCCATACAGTTGGTTCTCTTTTTATTTTAATAGTTTTCTTTAGCCATGCAAAAGCTTTTAATTTTGATGAGATCCCATTTGTTTATTCTTTCCTTTATGTCCCTTGCTCTAGAAGGCATATCAGTAAAAAAGTTTCTACATGAAATATCAGAGATTTTCATGCCAATTTTCTCCTCTAGGATTTTAATGGTGTCATGGCTTATATTTAAATCTCTTATCCACCTTGAATTTATTTTGGTGTATGGTGTAAGTTGGTGCTTGAGTTTCTTTTTTTTCTTTCTTTTTTTTTTTTTTTTTTGCATGTAGCTGGCCAGTTCTCCCAACACCATTTGTTGAAGAGGCTATTTTTACTCCATTTTATCTTGTTGCCCCCTTTGTCAAATATTAATTGGACACAGACATTTGGATTTATTTCTGGGCTCTCTGTTCTGTTCCATTGGTCTATGTGCCTGTTTTTATGCCAATACCAGGCTGTTTTGATTACAGTG